AATACTAATAAATATAATTAATATTAATAAATGTATTTAATATAATAAATTGTTTGTTTGAAATTAAGCACAAAGCTACACAATGGGCTATCTGTGCTCTGCCCACCACGGGTATCGAAACCCGGATTCTAGCGTTGTAAGTCCACAGACATACCGCTGTGCTACTGGGGGGCTAATATAATAAATATAATTAATACTAATACATTCCCGTTAATGACATGAATTATTAGACGTGTTATTTTAGCTAAAAAAATACAGAAATGAATAATTGTGCGATGTATTTCGTAAAAACTTTCCCCAGTTTTTAATTAAAACATGTATATTTGGAAGTAATAATAACTAGAATTAAAAAAAGTAAAAGAATATAAACTGGTAAATACGTTTCGTTTTGTTTTTATGGATAATAAGTAATAGAAAATATGTAAAGATTTTAATCTATATGTAAATTGTAAGAGCATGAATCATTATGTAGAGAGTGGTTGCACTATGAAGATTAGTTATTTCATGGATCGTCTATTTATACAGTAGAAGAAAACAATTCAGTGTTTCCACCCCTCCTTATGAACCTCGGTATCCCCTGAGACTCACGTGATGCCCACATATATTTTGTAATCGGATTACTTTCTTTTTAGCTGATCATTAGACGCTGAAGTATATGATTACCCATGAAACTTGTGTCTGCTCTACCGATATATTTAGCTGTATACGTTTTTATTTACCGACGATTTTCTTACAATGTTAACAAGCTGCTCTGTTCGTGAAATGTTTAGTTTAAAGATACAAAACAAATAATCGATAAATATATATAACACGAAATAAAATAAAATATGTTAAATTACAACTGTTTTAGTAATAATAACTTAAAATAAGTAAATAAGCACACACACACGAGGGCACTCTTCAGTATCGAAAGGAATGACCGCGTTTCTTTTTACCTTAAAGCTTTTTATATATATGTTTTAGACTTCCCCTATGTTTCAAACTATGTAACTTATAATGTGGTTTTAAAGTTATTAATAAAATAACTTGCCATTTTTCCATAAGAATAACAAAACAGTAATACTTGAAAAAAGGTTCTTGTAAAGTCTGATATATTTCTATAATACACAGGTAACGGTTGATGTTAACATGTAATGAGAAATTATTTGTATTTCGACGTGAGATATATGCAAATTTATTCTTAAACGTAAATTTTATGTTCCTCAACATATATCTGTTTACAAAAAATAAAAGATAATAAATAAAATTAAATGAATTACAGCTAAATCTAGAGTTCATGAAAAAAAAAATTATCCTCAGTAGGGCCTAAAATATATTTACTGTATATAATATAACCTTTCTGAAAATATAACAGTTTGTTTATTACAGAGAAATGTACCTTCATAAAATTTCTTTATTTTAATTTTAGTGATTTAAGATAGCATATAGATCTTGGATTGTCTTCGTGCTAATATGGTTTATTTATTTAAAACGTAGCTCATAAAATCGTATCAAAAATTCTTTCTAATTCTTTTTTGGATATCATTAATATTAATTTTAACTCGAGGACAACGGTTAATTATGAAAAAAATATTTGCTGTTCTCTTTTTTTTATATCTTTATGATTATTGTTAATTTACTTTCTATGTTTAGATAAATCTCTGTCTATTATGTTTTCTGGATAATAACATTTATTAAGGCTAGATTTTAATTCTGTCAGTATTTGTTGTTGAACTTCCGGATTAGAAACAATAATAAAAAATCGTTAAGTTAGATAAAGTGGAATATTTAACTTCGTATGTACAAAATAATTACTATAAAAACCTAAATGCTGGTCTGAATTAGTAGGTTTGTAATATAAATTCGTTTCACTCTTAAAATCTTCGTTTCTATAATCAATACATCTAAAAATAATAATAATCTAAATCACTCAATTCAAAAGTAAACTTTATATTATTATTAGTTTTGATTTAAGTTTTCAAGAACAAAGACTATTACAATTAAAGAATTAACTGTTCTTTATACCAGCAATGTGCTTATATAGTGGCTTGTCGCCGTAAATGCGAGCCCTGACGCCATGGGTGTAACGTTTAGCACCTATATATATATATATTTAAATGACGCCAGTTTCTGACCATTCGACAGGGCAATCCGCCATTGATACTTATGACTGGAGGAGAATATCACAGCTTTTTTTCGAGGAAGGATACTCGTATAGCTGAACTTTTAAACGATTGAGAATCAAAGGACACAAACAATTTCAAAGATTTGTTTGTTCATTAGTTTGCAATTAAGTACAAAGCTACACAATGGTCTATCTGTGCTCTGCCCACTACGGGTATCGAAATCTGGATTCTAGCGTTGTAAGTCCGCAGACATACCGCTGTGCCACTGGGGGGGGGGGAGACTCAGTTTCAAAGAAGAAAGTTGTCAATGAATTTCATGGAAGTGGAAACAACTCGCATGTTGGAGCGTTTAGGACAGCCAGTGGTTTTGAAATTACACTCCAAGCCAATCAAGACGAATGCTTTTATCCGTCAAATGAAGACTTTAGTCACGAAAGAGGCCACTTTGGCCCAAAAATGGGCATTATGATGAAGCTGGGATATCAAAAACTCACAAGTCAAAAGTTCACTAATTTCCAGCCGCATATTAAAATCAACTGTTGATTCACGAGAATGTTGACCGAAGAAACTGGAATCACGGCAATACCATTCGACCACGTGCCTGTCAAGTCCTTCCAATCAGCTCCAAAAATGGACATCTGGTCTGCTCAAGCGTGTTTAGGTGTGATCTTAAAAGCCGACTTCATAGGACGTTGGAAGGTTTATGGAAAGCATGTTGAAATGTTTGATGTAAGGTAGATTTCACCGTCCATTGCAGAGCCTTGTTGCAATGGAAATTGTGACGTTGAGAAGTAGCACGGTCATCAGGATACTGTTGGACAAAGTTAACAAACTATATAGAATACATTATATTTCAAAAACGCTAGCCGTCCATAATTTAGCAGTATAAGACTAGAGGGAAGGCAGCTAGTCATCACCAACCACCGCCAACTCTTGGGTTACTCTTTTATCAACGAATAGTGGGATTCACCGTCACTTTTTAACGCCCCCACGGCTGAAAGGGCGAGCATGTTTGGTGTGACGGGGGTTCGAACCCGCGACCCGCAGATTGCGAGTCGAGCGCCCTAACCGGGCCACACAGAACAGACATTTGGGAATCACAATATATTATATTTCATTTCATAAATTATTTTATGATTTTCTTTTTTCTTTTTAGTGTGTTAGCCTTGTGGTAGGGCTCTGGATTTCGGAGGTGGGGAGCCGTGTTCGAATACTTGCAATGCCACATATTATTCTCCCTCTCTAAGCTGTGAGTGCGTTATAAAAGTGATAGACAATTCCTTACCATGTATGGTGGGTGGCAGGGTGTTGCTGTCTGGCTGCCTTCCCTCTGGTCAGTTGTTCAAAATTAGGGACCGTGGCAGATAACCTTAGTAGCTTTGCCATAAATACAAATAGATGTTTTTAGCAAAACAAATTTTTGTATTTTGCCCACAAGGAGAACATAATTTACTTCAGGTTTAAACACGTTAGAAAAACCATATTAAATTATTTGAATTTCTTGATATCTTGCAAAGCAGCTAATTTTAACAACTTTCGTAGTTTGACAAAACCGTGTTGTATTGTTCTACATCGTGTATTTATTAAGGTTATATGCATAACTCTTATATTTATTCAAATTAAAATAATTTAAGTACCTGTCATTTTATACATGAGAAATACGCTTTTCTTATACCGCAATATAATCCTGTCTCTGTATTAGAGCGCCATCTCTCAGAAACAAAGTAAACTAAATCGATAACATTTTACAGAGTTTATTTGCCGTGTTAATCAGGAAGCTCACGAAGTAATGAAATACCAAGCTAGTTATAATGACGCTTTCGACCATTTTGTAGCAGAATGAAGAATGTTGCGGTGGAGAAGAACGCAAGAGAAAAGTAAAGAAGAACTTCCAGTCGACCGATTTAAAACACTTAAACTTGCTGACGTTGGAACGCATCATTTCTCACCAAACACGCATATCGCGGTTCAGCTGGCGTATGTTGCGCGGGAAAGAAAACATGGAAGTCAGAGGGTCTGTGAACAAGGTTTCGATCTCCCTCCTCGTGCTAGTACACCTATGGCTGTGTATTGGGGCTGAAGTTAGATATCGGAATGGTAAGCTAGACTCTGTGTCATTCCTAAAATACACGTATATATATTTTAATAATAAAAATAAATGCCTTGAATATAATATCTATGAAGCTTTATCTAATAATGATGTGACGGGACTACATATTTTTACATTTCATAAAATCATGCAACATTGCAATGTTATATTGATATTGTTGCCCTAGTCTTTATAAAACTCGTTGAATTAGCTAAGTGCTAGATATTTTGGAGGAGTTTTATCTTTTAAAATACATTATTTTCTGTAACCATATTTAAAAGTTTGGTTCGTATTAGAAACCAAATTAATAGCTTTGCGTATCAGATCAAACTAGAAAGATAAATAACACATGTTAAGATGGTTTATGAAAATACTCTTCACTACTACTGTTTAATATCGACAGCGTAAAACAACAACAACAACAACAACAAAACTGTATTAGTGGATTACTGTGTGCAGTATTTATGCACAGCGATTACATGTATTATGATCCGGAAGTACCACTTATTTTGACCGGAAATGACGAAAACGTAGCGATAGGACATATTAAGATAGCAAGAAAAAGAAATGAGAAATACATACATATATAATTTAAACATTAATAATGTCACGTTCGCTCTCGGGGTATTGTTTAAGAATGTTTGAGGTCGTCTTTTATAACTTGTTTGCACTCTTTGTACAGAGTGTTTTCTGAAGTTTTTATTGGGGTGGTGGTGGATAAAGTGGGTGGAAATTATTTCGTATTTTTAAAGTGGAAAATTTTTGTAGTATTGAAGATAAAATTTTTATACACTGTTAGCTCAACAGTTTAGGTTAAATGGTATTACTGTATGATAGTCCGGAATACAGTTTGTATTCTGTATAAATATGGTGAGGTGAATAACCCGTTAGAATGTAGGTTGTATTTTTTTTTTATAATTCTTTAAAATAACGAAATTAATCTTTACATTATCATAAATAAATAGTAAGCTAGGAGTCAAAATATTCCTGAATACAACAGAGTTTAGTGGTAAATACAGAATGCCATTCCAAAAATACTTCACAAATATTAGAGTCTATGTTTCTAAACATTAAATAAATAACACTTTGAAGAAACAAAGCTATGTGCATCGATAGAAAATGATTAAAAAAACTCCCTAAAATGAGTCGAAAGCTCGAGAATATTTCGGAGTTTGTTTTTTTCTTTGTAAGAAGCGTATTTTTTTTTAATATATATAATACAGCCGACTGACAATGCTCGTTCAATGTACGGGAAAGACATGGGAGTCGTCGAGGGGGGTGACCCCCCACCTCTCAAGTCACAGCCCGGGGGAAATGGGTTACATGACAGGTTCGGTGACAATCGGTCCAGCGACTCACCTGCTATAAGCAGACATACACACATGAACTTTTGTTAAATAATGGCTTAGATTACTCTACAATCGAACGTGTTGCTGAACACGATGAAAAAGTTATATTTTCGGTGTCTTTTTTTTATTACTAGATATGTTATATCTATTAACCCTAACCTCACAGCAAACAAAATGGAAAGGGATAAGCTCGTCATATCTTCGATTTTTATTATCTTTTTCGTGAAGATGAGTCTTTATATTTTGTAGATGGAAAAATAATAGCGTGCATTGATGATGTTTAACTAATGAAATGTCAGGGTCGTAGCTAAGGCGATCAAGTTACTCTTAAATATCTCAACCATCCACTCCTCTTTTCGTGGTTAAAACACGAGCCTGCACAATGGTACGGTTCATATGATGTCGACATCTGTCGACTAGAAAAAGAATTATGAACAAATTAGCTCTTCATCCACCGGTTGAAAGCTGGAAACTAAGATAATTTCCGTTAGGCACTCATTACGAGTTTCCATTCTAAGGACGATATGGTGAGCAATTATTTTTGTCTCGAACCAGCACAATAACCGTAGCGAACACGAAGAGAAGGGAGGGATAAATACTGAAGATACTAGAAAAGATGTAACTGATGGACATCGCGTTTCGATTTTGCGCAGTTTTCATTCAACATTTTATCATTATAAGAATTTCTTAGTTTTCAGAAACATTAAACATGATATCAAAGAAAACACTTCATTATCATCTTGCAGAACAACAAAGCCACCCCCCTTCCCCCCAAATGGCTCAGCGATAAGTCTGAAGGCTTATAACGCTAAAAACCGGGTTTAGATACCTGTGTGTGGCTTTGTGATTGACAAAAATAAAATGAAAAAAACATACAAAGGACATTTTTTTCTTCTAAATTTTACATTGTAAACAATAAGAAAGGTAGGGATTTTTATCCTAGTATAAAAAACAAGAACTTCTTTTAAAATTATGTCCGTGTACAGTGGTGTAGGAAGGGGGAGGGGTGCTTGGCAGATATTACGATAATATCATTTACAGTTGCTATATAAGTCAAGTGGGGGAGATACGGCACCCCGGTTCCGACACCTCTGATGTAAATACATTCTTACTCATGAAAATCTACAGTCTCGACGAAATAAACAGTTGAGTCATTTTCGCGGATAGTCTTCTAAAATAAATCCCGAAACAATCACTTAGTTGTTTTTTTCAATCTCCATGAAAGTGTAGTTAACCTATATAGTTTACGAGACTAGACGTCATAGTCGGGTTCTTTACCTAATATACTCTAAGCTATAGTGTCGATAGGGTTTTGTTTGTTTATAATTAAGCACAAAGCTACACAATGGGCTATACGTTCCGTGACCACCACGAGTATTGAAACCCGATTTTTAAAGTTATAAGTCTTCAGACCTGCCGCTGTGCCACTGAAGGGGGACTGTTCGAGAGGGTTATAATATTTGCAATACGTTCAACCATGCTTAGTTACCAGAAATGTCTGACTTGATGTAACACGAGTTAGGGTTAAATTTGAAATAGTACCAGCAACGTTTACGTACATAATTGTCTAAACAGCTTATCTGTGGTACATTGACTGTAATAAATTGATTTCAGTACCGTTGCTTAGAGACACAGATTCAAGAATTCACTGGTCATGTATTTGTCAAAGGAACCACAATAATGTCAGATTACAGCCACTGAATGACGGGCGAAGTAATACATTAATATCAATAGACATGCAAATCACCTATCCTTCTGTCTGTCTATCTACCTATTTATCGATCTGTCTGTCTGTCACTATTTATCAATATGTCAATATATCTACATATTTATCGGTCTGTCTGTCTGTCAACCTATTTATCAATATGTCTGTCTATCTATCTATCTGTCTGTCTCTGTATTCATCATAATGTCTGTCTGTTTACCTATCTATCTAGTTATCTGTCTGTCTATCTACCTATCTCGTGTAAAGAAGTCAAACTTAATATGAAATTTATAAAAAAGTGGAACCTTGCCAACACTGATTTCAAAATAGGCAGTTTACGTCAACAGTATATATAGTACAACATTTAACAGGTCTGTATTATTCTTGACGTTGACGAGCCAAGTAATTGTTTCTAGATTTCATGCCAACGCACTAACGATATATTAATGGAAGTTAGATTTCGTTAAAAACGGTTCTTGTTTCTTTCCGTACCAGCTTCATATTTTTAGATGTTGTAACGTCTTGCTTGTTTTTTGTCATACCATTATAAAGATCCTCTAACCAAAGCTGCTTCCTGGTGTCTTCCTGAACGCCACCTAGCTGTAGGTTGTTCAACAAAGGTTCCCAACGTTTGGACTGAACAGTTTAGAAACCTAAAGACTAACTGTGTAAGAAACTGCCGACATAACAAAAGAAAAACAAATTTAAAACAGCTTCCTTTAAGTGGCAAGTCTGAAGGCTTATAACGCTAAAATCCGGATTTCGGTACTTGTCGTGGGCACAACCCAGATAGCCCGTTACGAAGTTTCGATACCTGTGGTGTGCACAGCTCAGATAGCCCATTGTGTAGCTTTGTGCTATCCCATAATCCTATAAATTATTCAGTACTCAGTTTCCTTGTTGCTATATTTTTTTGTTATTTTAAATAAGTTCCCGTATGCAAAGAATAATCAAAGCCGAGATCTTAACTGACGAATTTTCGGCATTTCGCCATCGCTGTGTCCTGTACGTAAGTTGAAATTAAAGAACGTTTGTTTGTAGTTAAACACAAAACTACACAATGGGCTACTGTGCTGTGCCTACCACTGGTATTGAAACCCGGTTTTTAACTTTATAAGCCTTCAGACGTAGGTCTGAGCCACTAAGGGGAAGAGGACGAACTTTGAAAACGCTGCTTTTAAAAACATCAAAAAATTCTATTAAACACAGTAAATAGAAAAAAGGAATCTGTAGTCCTGTAAAACACAAACTGTGCTAGAGAACGATGTACAGTATAAACAAAACATATGAAAACTATTGTTTTGTGCTTTTCTACCCTAGAGCATGTAATGTTCTAATCACAGCTTAACTTTGTGATCATTACTATAGTAATTTATTTAGATTAGGTTCTAATCACAGCTTAACTGCTGTGATTATTACTATAGTAATTTATTTAGACAACGTTCTAATCACAGCTTAACTGCTGTGATTATTACTATAGTAATTTATTTAGACAACGTTCTAATTACAGCTTAACTACTGTGATTATTATTATAGTAACTTATTTAGACAATGTTCTAATCACAGCTTAACTGCTGTGATTATTATTATAGTAACTTATTTAGACAATCCAGTTAAGCTGTGATTAGAACCTAATCTAAATAAATTACTGTAGTAATAATCACAGCAGTTAAGCTGTGATTAGAACGTTGTCTAAATAAGTTACTGTAGTAATAATCACAGCAGTTAAGCTGTGATTAGAACGTTGTCTAAATAAGTTACTGTAGTAATAATCACAGCAGTTAAGCTGTGATTAGAACGTTGTCTAAATAAGTTACTATAATAATAATCACAGCAGTTAAGCTGTGATTAGAACCTAATCTAAATAAATTACTATAGTAATGATCACAACAGTTAAGCTGTGATTAGAACCTAATCTAAATAAATTACTGTAGTAATAATCACAGCAGTTAAGCTGTGATTAGAACCTAATCTAAATAAATTACTATAATAATCACAGCAGTTAAGCTGTGATTAGAACCTAATCTAAATGAATTACTATAGTAACGATCACAGCAGTTAAGCTGTGATTAGAACCTAATCTAAATAAATTACTGTAGTAATAATCACAGCAGTTTAGCTGTGATTAGAACCTAATCTAAATAAATTACTGTAGTAATAATCACAGCAGTTAAGCTGTGATTAGAACGTTGTCTAAATAAATTACTATAATAATAATTACAGCAGTTAAGCTGTGATTAGAACCTAATCTAAATAAATTACTATAATAATCACAGCAGTTAAGCTGTGATTAGAACGTTGTCTAAATAAATTACTATTCCGGACATTTGAACAACTGTTCTGCCGATATATTGGATAATGAGGCCAGGTAATTTAAAACTTCCATATTCTAACTGTTCTGTTATGTAATTTATAACTTGATTGAAATAGATCCACACAAATTTAAGAACGAACAAGTTTAGATATGTTCATTTGGAGGAGTCTGACATAAATATAAAATCCTCGACCAAAGAAAGGTGTTATGTAAGTCAAGAATCATATACTATGGTTACCCCCTCCCATATATACACATATACTAGGTGTACTTCCGCAGGGTCCCCGAAAGTATTCTGTTTGAAAAGTAAATAAAGGCAAAATTAAGAGTAACACATTATTTTTATTTCTTGCTTTTGAAGTTCGTATATCATGCTTTGTTGTAGCTTACAGGGTGCATAATTCTTCTCGTGATTCATGGCATTCGCACGTTTTACTGACGCAACGACAGTAAAAACTGCAACGTTAAGCGCCCCTTATATGACGTCACTTTAGTGTCTACTGACTGACCGACTGACTGAAAGACAAAACACTACTGTATAGTGGTGTGAGTGGTTAAAACTGGTGACCCCTCCAGGCGGCCTTTGACTCCCTTTCGGGGAACTTATTGTAGGCTTACTTCTGATAACTTAACACAACATTAACGCAGCCTTACAAACCAGTAATGTCCCCTAACATAATGGCAACGCTGTTGACTCATCGTGACTCCATTAACGCAACCTTACAAACCAGTAATGTCCCCCTAACATAATGGCAACGCTGTTGACACATCGTTACTCCATTAACGCAACATTACAAACCAGTAATGTCCCCCTAACATAATGGCAACGCTGTTGACACATCGTTACTCCATTAACGCAACATTACAAACCAGTAATGTCCCCCTAACATAATGGCAACGCTGTTGACACATCGTTACTCCATTAAAGCAAGGAGTAACGATGTGTCAACAGCGTTGCCATTATGTTAGGGGACAATACTGGTTTGTAATGATTAACGCAACTTTACAAACCAGTAATGTCCCCTAACATAATGGCAACGCTGTTGACACATCGTTACTCCATTAACGCAACATTACAAACTAGTATTTTCCCCTAATATAATGGCAACGCTGTTGACACATCGTTACTCCATATATGTTTTTTATGTAAAGTTTTGGTGAAACTATTTGACGTTTTCTTTACTTATATTTTACTGACATTCTGGTACAAACGAATACAAGTACGAAGTTGTTTTTTCTTCGAGAATATTTAACTGAAATATAATATAACTAGCAAGATTGTGTTTATGCAGAAAAAAATGTGATAACATAACTCGAATCTTGAGACTGCTTTAAAGCACGTTTGTGTCGAAAATTCGCCTAAAGCTACACAAGTGGCATCTGTGATAATTGTCCCTAATTTTGAAGTAATGGATCAGAGGGAATTCAACCAGTCAACATTGAAGTAATGGATCAGAGGGAATTCAACCAGTCAACATTGAAGTAATGGATCAGAGGGAATTCAACCAGTCAACATTGAAGTAATAGACCAGAGTGAATTCAACCAGTCAACATTGAAGTAATGGACCGGAGGGAATTCAACCAGTCAACATTGAAGTAATGGATCAGAGGGAATTCAACCAGTCAACATTGAAGTAATGGACCAGAGGGAATTCAACCAGTCAACATTGAAGTAATGGATTAGAGGGAATTCAACCAGTCAACATTGAAGTAATGGACCAGAGTGAATTTCGATATTAGGTTAAACATTACAATACACATCATAACGAGATTAGATCAAGTACAAAAGATAACCATTTTTTCTCTTGAAAAATATTGAAAGCATTTTGAGTTTTAATTCTGGCTTCATTATTTTTTCTTCTTGATGTTATATGTTGTTGTGAATTTTTTATTCTTTTTTTTTACATAATTACTCCCTGGTGGCTCAGCAGTAAGTCTGCAGGCTTACGGCTTTATAAATCGAGCTTCGATACCCGTGTTAGGCAGAGTACAGATAGCCCATTGTGTATCTTTGCGCTCAAGAACAACAAACCAAACTTTTTAATAATTTAAAAAGTCTATATAGCTTAAAATTAATTTTTAGGCACTTTCCCTGTTTCTCTAGCTACACGGAATAATACAAAGTAATAGTAACTTTTCAATGTAAGATCTATCGAATCTTCGAGAATATTCTCTTCACGTCCTAAAAAATATAAATGATAGGCTTATAAGTAGTGGTAGTCATATGCTTGGAGGGAAAGACAAAATAAACATATCTTTAACTGCACTTTCGATGAGAAAACAACAATAACAATAAATGAGCAAATTATTTGAAACGTTATAGAATACAAAAACAAAAACATTATAGAACACAAAAAAGAAATATGAAGTAACGTCTTTCATGCAAAAAAAAATAGAAGTTAAAATAGAAATAACGATAATGGGATATATTATTATCACTAATAGTAAATACAAAGAATCAAGTCTGAAGAGACATCTATGTATCTAAGGTATGAAACAGAGCGTAATTGAGAGGAGCAAAAGACTGATTATCGTGATAAAAGAGGCTTCAATCTAGGCAAAATAAGCAAAACAAGTAACAAAACCAAAACCTGACAGTAAGCCTAATGAAGAACGTACACTAAATTAAGGCGAAAGATAGGTACATCTTTGTCCGTGATCTACAGGACAATTACCGTGAAAGTTTTTTTTTAAGCGAAAGTAAGCTGAAGCGGTAACGGGAGAAAGAAAACAAGGTTTTCTTCTGTGGGTGATCTCGTGCCTCAGTGCGATACAGGTTAGTAGTTGGAGAATGTAGTAAATAGCTATTGTCTGCAGTTCAAGTACGATCGGTTTCCTTTTAGTACCACTACACAACTTGGTTTGTTTGTTTTTGAATTCCGCGCAAAGCTACACGAGAGCTATCTGCGCTAGCCGTCCATAATTTAGTAGTGTAAGACTAGAGGGAAGGCAGCTAGTCATCACCATCCACCGCCAACTCTTGGGCTGCTCTTTTACCAACGAATAGTGGGATTGACCGTCACATTATAACGCCCCCCACGGCTGAAAAGGCGAGCATGTTTGGTGTGACGGGCATTCGAATCCGTGACCTGCAGATTGCGAGTCGTGCACCCTAACCACCTGGCCATGCCGGGCCTCACACAACTTGGACTGCTCTCTGACAAATCTAAATCTTAGTTCAAATCTAAAATAAGCTTGTTATATTTTTAACAATATTAAGCCTAAGAAAATTCCATTATTTGACATTTACGTCGATTATGTCAAATCTCTATTTTTGTTCACTAACATGATAATATAGAATGGTATTATTTTAAATGTCACTTCGATTATATTCATGTTCACTAACATGATAATATAGAATGGTATTATTCTAAATGTCACTTCGATTATATTCATGTTTACTGACATAATGATATAAAAGGGTATTATTCTTAAGTCTCAGTTCTCTGTCATTAATTAAGTATTTATAATTTTAACCTTAAAGACATCTTATGCGTTCGTGGACTAAATGACCAGATCAAAGATCACTAGTGTTAGGGCACACCCGTCCCTAATTTTGAGTTACTGACCAGAAGGAAGACAGCCAAGCAGCAACGCCCATTGTCAAGTGGACTTTGCTGAATTCTTAGAACCGAATAGGCGTGGCATGGTTATTCGTAAGGGCGCTCGACTCGCAATCTGCGGATCGCGGGTTCGAATCCATCACTAAACATGCTCACCCTTTCAGATGTGAGGGTGTTATAATTGAACGGTCAATCTCACTATTTATTGGTAAAAGAGTAGCCCAAGAGTTGGCGGCGGGTGGTGATGACTAGCTGCCTTCCCTCTAGTCTTACACTGCTAAATTAGGGACGTCTAGCGCAGATAGCCCTCGTGTAGCTTTGCGTGAAATTCATAACAAATCAAACCAATCAGCCGTGGGGGCATTATAAACTGATGGTCAATCCCCCTATTTAATTAGAGTAGCCCAAGCGTTTGCGGTGGGTGGTGTTGATTAAAAGCCTTCCATCTAGTTTATTCCTTCTAAGTTAGGGACTGCTAACGCAAGTAGCTTTGCGCGGAATTAAAGAAAACAAATAAACAAAGAGAACAAAATAACGGGATTGACCGTTAATTTCACGTAACAGTTGAAATTATGTAGTGTATTCAGAAATACCATATCTCCAAATATGGACACTGTTTAACAGCGAAAAGGACCTCGAGCTTATCTTGGGAAAAAAATATTTGACCTTCCTTTATTGCCTTTGTGAAGCGATATAATTTCTTACTTTAGGTGTTTTATGCTGCACAGACACAGCTCAACAATGGACGAAATATAATCTTGTGTTTAAGGTTGAACCACCCTCTTTTCACAGGGTTCTGTTTGATTTATTTTACGAATTCCGAATTTTAGGGTTATAAGTACTTAAGCTTGCTGCTGAAATACCGGATGGATGTACAAGTCCTGACAGTTCAACCGAGGAAGAGATGTTTTAGAAGATCAAAATTCCGCGTTCAAGCCGGCCTTTTTCTTAAATCTGTAAATAACACCTTTTGTGATCAAGTTCAATGAGTAATTGTGAATCGTTTTGTAAGGAAGTGTACATCATTTATCAGGTTTTTTTTGTTATTACAGAAGATGAAGACCGTTGTAATAAGACAGTTGACATACATCAGTCCATTTCCAACCCGCCCGTTACTGATACAAACCGAGGACGCCCTCTACACTGTAACTACGAGATCAGAGTACGACCAGCACGAGACGACTGGGTTATATTCGTCAAATTCATTAGAATGCGGGTGGGTGAAACAAGCTCTGACCGTCGTCAGTGTTTAGGAGGTTATCTGCAGGTTATAGATGGATTTAGGAACAGCAACACCACCAACAAAGATTCCCCAGGGTTCTTTTGTGGCGAGATCGACTCGCCGAAGACGTTCATTTCCGAAACACCTTACGTTAAGATCGCGTTTCATGTGGACGCGTACGACGAAGGAACGTTTTTACAATTCATGGCCAACGTTGAGCGTCAGAGCGAAGTTCTAGAACGCTATGGGCAGTATCCCTATGTCTACCCTCACCGCAGAGGACAACCAGTTCCTGACACGTACTGCGAACGTGTCTTTAAAGACTGTTCTTCTTCTGACCGATGTTATGTCCAGTCTCCTGGTTATCCTGGAGTTTATCCTCCAAATCTTCAGTGTGAATACCACCTTAGCGTTCCAAAAGGCGTAATTGGCTTGGAACTCCAGACATTTGACGTAGATGGGCAAGGTTGCGACAGCCTTTTGTACTGCTTTCCAAGACCCGTTACAACAACTGTAGAAGAGTGTCCTTTTGACTACGTCCGTATTCATGATGGTCCAAGTGTTTCACATCCCGTGATTGTCACCTTGTGTGGAAGAGGTCGCCTAAGGTCCAACATAATTGGGTCTAGTTCATTATTGCTTGTACGCTTCACTACGTCTCCAGCTGGTCCATTACTGAACACAGGATTCCATTTTAAGGCTTATGAAATATACGACAATGATAACTCTGAGCCACTGGAGCTAAAAAATGGCACGTGTCTTGTAGAGAAATACCTCGAGGAAAGCGATGGCTATCTCTTTTCTAGTCTCAGGTCATGGTATCCCGAAAACACCACGTGCACATACAAGTTCAGAGTGGACGAGAACGGAATCATTGCTTTGGAATTTCTATGGTATCGGGTCGAGAGGGTTACGCTATGTGAAGACTCACTCAAAATCTATGACCATCATGAACCTGACCCTAGGTTCATTATTGTTAAACTCTGTGACATGAATCGACCACAAACTGAAGAATCGCGGAGGGTTTACGAAAGCAGTGGCCCTGTGATGTTTCTCGAATTCATTGGCAAAACAGGCTCTTTGGAGGGGTCCTCTCTCAGTTATAAATTTCAGGTGAGGAGGCAGAAGAAAGCTTCTCAAAACGGGATTCTTTCTACCCCTTCTTGTAATCAAGTGCTGTCAGCTGATTCCAAAAAATCCGGTATCATTGCAGTTAGCAAAAGTGATTTATTGTCCATTGAAGAAAATGAGTTTATAGTGTGCAATTACACATTCGTTGCTACTAGTATTTCCCAGGGGAGGGTTATTATTAACATCTTTGGTTTCTTCAAATCTGGCTGTGACAGCTGCCGAGGAAATGATTATAGTTGGATTTCAGTACATTCTCTGTTACCAGAGGAAGATAGCTTCTGCTTCTGCGAAGTTGACAAACCTTCTACATTCAGATTAACCTCTCTAGGGCCTCGTCTTCTTCTCGTGACACATTTTACCAGACCTTTAAAACAACAGTTTGCGAGTCTGATCGACAATGAGCCGTTTTTGCAGATTGAGTATGGATTTGCTGGAGAATCCCGATGTGGGCAAGAACACATGGAGCTCGAGCTTCAGGGCGAGATTGATTTTCCTACATACATGTCTGGATCAAAGCAAGCTGGCCTTCTTTTCTGTCGTTGGTCAGTACCAGTGTTTCACGGAATGGACCTATCTTTCATTGTTCAAAACCTGTACCTTCCCGGTAACTGCAGCACTAATTACCTTGTAGTGGCTAGTACTTATTTCTGTGAAGACAGTTCTGGAAGCATTGATCGCAGTCTTGTTATTGAGAACGAGAATATCGAAGCAGGAAAAGTAATCGTGGAATTCCGTACCACAGATGCTTCCAACAGTAGTTTTAACCTCGTCTACACCCAGTTGAAGATGCTTTCCCCATCTTCCAGTTCGGATTCCCTAGTTTCTTTGGGAAAAGAATGCGAGTTTCTCTGTGCACCAACTATGGCCTGTTTAAAGAAAGAACTCGTATGTAATGGTGTTCCAAATTGTCCAATCCTTGATTTTTACGACACAGGGGGCGTAGCCTCTGACGAAGCTAACAGTTTGTGTTACGCGGAAAAAGTCGCTTTTCCTTACTACTGGTGGGTCATAGGTGCTGCCATAGCAATCTGTATATGCGCTGTTTTCTGTTTTGTTGTTTCTTTGTGTCGAAGATGGCAAACGGGAAGAAAAGGCCTATAAACGTTATTCCTCGATGTTACTTCAACCGTTCCTCCCGTTTTATCTGCTACTGTACTATTGACTATAAAGAAACACAATGGTAAACAGTATTAAAAACAGTTACATAAATTTGTGCCAAATTACTATTATTTATCTATACTGTTTAAAGACGCCCGAATGGTTAGCGTTTTGGGTTCTTTTAACCAATTCTGGCAGAAGTGTATAGATAGTTGAGTTCATATACTTTCTAAGCCCTTCACGGTTTGCTTTTGTTTTTTGCTACTGTCACTTATTGATGCACTTTCAAAATAAAACTATTTAAAAAACTGGTGTCACGCTGCTATATTATCGATTCTTTTTGCTCTCCTGATGATGACGAAAACATGTCGAATGTATGAGACTGTTCAAAGTCTCGTGGTTTTTGTGTTGATACTGCAAAGGATTGAGCAAATGTTTTATTGTACTTTGAGACTAGAAACGGTCTTATTTTTAAATATTTGTTGTGTTTTATTAAACGTTTTAACATATTTGTGATTTAGATGAGACGGCATGATGTTTGTGTTATCAAATATGTTCAGGTGAGTAAATGTAATGAGCTGAAAATTTCGTTAACTCCACCCTCTATTAATACCATGTAATTCTGTAAAATGTTGTTAACTCCACTCTCTATTAATACCATGTAATTCTGTAAAATGTCGTTAAATCCACTCTCTATTAATACCATGTAATTCTGTAAAATGTCGTTAACTCCACTCTCTATTAATACCATGTAATTCTGTGAAATGTCGTTAACTCCACTCTCTATTAATACCATGTAATTCTGTG